TGGGAATAGCAAGAAACATGTCCTTGATATCAGCGGATCCCATCCATGTAGGCCCATAACACCAGATGCTTTCTGTTAAGGGTGGTAGTGACAGGACGGCAGCCATCAAGGGGTCAGTATTAGCAATCAAAGCTCAAAAGTCAATAGTCAGCCGCTCCCCTCCATTTGGCTTATGCAGTGGCCACAGTGGATTGTTATACGGAGAGTGGGTTCAGATAATAGCTCCATCTTCCAACTGCTGGCTGATAATACACTGGATAGGCTGGGTAGCCTCAGGGGGAGTTTGATACTGGGGCTGGTGTACTGGGGCTTTCATGGGAGGCAGGGTTAATGGGGTCATGCTACATCGAGTTACAGCTGTTATAATAATTTCTTCTGGTTCTCCTGCTGAGGCACTGCACACCCAAACTGCCAAGTCTCTTGCTGAAGGGCAAACCGCTGTCCTCTTAGTACATTAAGTCCCAGTAAGCTTGGTCCCCCTTTAAGTATTACTGCTGCTGCTGTTACCTTAGAGCCAATAGGTAACACGAAAGTTGCTTGGACCAGATGTCTTGGTTGTCTAGTGCCTCTGACTCCAATTACTTGATAAGGGGTTCCTTTCTCCCCCTTCCAATCCACATAATCTAAAATGCAAATCTGGGCACCCATGTCTAATAACATATTGACTGACTTTTCACTTTTACCTAATTGAATCTGTACAGGTATCTGAATTAAGGGGCCAATATTAACTTTAGATACTGGTCTCCAGCCCACTACTGCCCCCATTGTGGCCCCTTTCTTTGGGGGTTGGGCCTGCTGGACTCCCTAGGCCACATGATCAGCAGGGGTAAAGGCTGGTGGCCCCTCATGTGCCTGGGATAATGTCAACAGTTCCGCCCTCAGGGCAGAGAATCCCTCTGGTGACACTGCCTGTGGCGCAGAAGGCTCTGCTTTTGGGCTTGCCCTGTTGCTAGTGTTTAGCTCACACCCCTTGCAGGACATTGGTGAGAAGTCCATCAATTTGCATCTTATTGAATCTGGCAGCTAACAAGTCTTTCCACATTTTTGCTCGCGGAGTCTTGGGCCGGCCTTCCCCAGCTTTTCCCAACAATTCGGGGGGGTCAGGGGATTTGTCTTTTGCTGAGGCCACCGCCATGGCCTTGGCAGTTTTCATCAGCTTGGCAAGCTGTGGTTTCTGCAAAATGGGTAAAAGCTGAACTAATTGCTGGATCGCATCTCTTACTGGGTGATTCACCGCCTCAGGCTCCAAGGCCAACAGGGCTGAGGTGCTTGCCGGCAAAACCTCCTCCACAACGGTGCTGTCATGACTTCTACATCTGGCGTGCAAGTCCAAACTGCTGCATGAATGATTTCAGTTAGTGCTTATGGATACAAGCAGCAGACAGCTTCCTCTAAATTGGCCCATGCCTGAGGGGAAGAGTTAAGCTCTTCTTCCATATTACCATAACTGGCCACAGTTGCCTGCAGCATGGCAGAAAACAAAGTAACACTTTTATCACCTCCTGCAAACTGATTTAACTGGAGCTTGGGGCGCAGGACTAATTGAGCGGCTTCTGCACGACTCACTGAAATCGCAGAAGCTCCTTCACTATACATTTGAACTAGCCAGTCTATCACTGGCTCTCCCGGCTTGGACTTATGCTGCTCCTGTATCTAGAATCTCTGCATGGGTAAAGGAACTCAGCTCTGTTTGGGGATTCTCCCCTTGCAGCCCTGAGTGGGTTACCACCACGGGGAAAGCCTGGCTAGGTTCCTCCCTCCAGATGGGGACATATGGGGGAGATTTGGCACTAGGCTCGTCATCAATATCCTCCTCTCCATCTGTTTCCCCCCCTTGATTTTTCCAGAGCTCAGCTTCCGGTTTCTCTCCATACAGACACTGTCGTACCTTGTCAAAGGATGGCTCCACAGTCTGTGCTAACTGTGCCCTCTTCTGGAGGGAAGCAGCCACACGAGCAATCATAATTTTTCCTTCCCTCTATTCTAATGTCTCCAAGCGACTCTGGACAGCTTGCGCCACCTCACATGCTACACTGTTGGAATCCCTCACGTCCTTCAACTCCTTACTCAGCCAAGTGACCTTTTCTCAGAGCTGGGCATTCTCTTTGGCTCCTAACTGCAGGCACATGGCCAGCAGCCATGACAGGCACCCCTTCTTGGGTTTACTCCGGGCAGCAGCAGCAAACCTAGCCCAATGATCGGATATGGTTGCCAGGTCACTCCAGGCAGGCCTCAACCTATCCTTATCCTACCCGGGATTTTCTATCCCCGTCATTTCATTAAGCAAAGCCACCAACGGGGCCCTCCCAACTCCCTCCATTCTGACCTTTCCCTCCAAACCAGAGCCTCTCAATCCTGTTCGTGATGCCAATTTATGTCCCAGTCATCTGCGGAGGGTTCAGGATTGAGAGTGTGGTTGGGGGTAGAAAGGCAAGAAAGGTTTATTGACTTAACAAACACACAACTATGCGTAAATAATAATGCTACAATGACAGACAATAATAATTCATGTTGTCAACTTATTGGCAGTCCCCTTTGATGCCTGATGTATGACAAGTTTCTGTTCTGCAAAACTCAGCGAATTCAGGCGTCCCCGATCAGCGCTGTCTGAGGGGTACCGGGAAGAACCCTGGTATTCAGTCCTCGGGTTCCTCAAGATCCACTGGTCCAGTGATCCAGGTCAGCAGCTAATTAGTAGTTTCTTTCACATAGCTGCATTTTCCTTCTGAATGATTTCCGGATGTGCCAGCCAATTTATAACTTCAGAGCTATGCTGATAACTTACAGTCATCCAGATTCTCCTATTATAATTATTCTTAGGACTGACCAATAGCAGCGTAAGCCTTGCAATCTTCTGATAAGGTTAATTTTTACTATGCCACAGGGCCTACCACTACTTCTACAAGGCCTTGCAAAATTTACGAGGCCTCATTACTCTTTGACTTTAATTAGGCTCTTAACAACAACATATAGGTTAATATCTGAACAAATGACAGAAAAACACTTTGTCTAATTTTCATAGAGCTTTTAACAAGCACTTTTATCACACAGACATAATTTCAGCTGTCAGACCCATGTGCTTGTGTACATCACTTACCGATTACAATGTGCAGACTTTACCCCAGGAAGGCAAAGGCACATTACTATTACATTTTAAAAACCCACTGAACTACTGTATCAATTGGATTCAACATCTAATATTTATTTTAATGAATGCCCTATCATTTATCTCCTGTGTGACTTTCAGCAGTCTCCTGGGACAGACATTGCATAAACCAGTTTGAGCCAAATCAGTTAAGTCTGATACTACATTCAAACAGGTTTATCTCAAACTGATTTGAGCCATTTTCAAACTGGTTTATATGTGCTGAACATTTGTTCTTTTACAGGTTTAAACCAATTTCTGATCACTTAAATCAGTTTGTGTGTAATGTCTGTCCCCAGCTCCTTCCCGGTTAATGTTAAACAAAAGTCCCCATAGTATCCTGGGGTGCTCTCTGGGTTGGGTGGGGCTTTTTGCTCTGCAGCAGGGCTGGCCTCTCCCCTCTGCTCCCTGGCTGCAGCTCTGGCAGAGCTCTGCACGCTGCTTCTCCTCCTCCTCACCACTCCCTACTAAGCAGGAATTCCTCCCTTCTCCCCACCTTGCTTAGAGGTGTTTGTGTATTAGCTAGCAGACCACATGCTGGCAGACAGGACAAAGGCAGTCCATTCTGTGGCAGACGGGACAAAAGCAGAAACAAGAGGTAGCTAGTAATGTCCCTCTGTTGTTTTCCTAATGGGGTGATAAACACTGAGTTAGGGGTGATAAACACTGTGTTATCAATTCCCTGCTGAGCTGGGGGGAACCCCTCCTAAATCAGAGAGTCCTTATGGGGCCTGGCCATGCCCACCTCAGCTCAGCCCTGTTGAAGGGAAGGGAGGGCAGCTCTAGCACCTCCCGACTTATAGCCTGAGCCACTGCAGGCATGTCCTTGCATGTTTGGGATGTCTGTGCATTTACAAACTGATTTAGCCTGGCCAGGTTAGACTAACCTGCAAAGATTGAATCAACTCAGGCTCAGGTTTTCTGAATGTCTGTCCCTAGCCCTGGAGTGTTATAGGGTTGTCACTCCCAGCGAGAGAGGCAGAGGAGGAAACTGTAGGAGCCCCCACCCAGGGGCCAGAGCTTGGGGGAGCTGCAGTGCAGGGCAGACAAGGCTTTGCCCTTTCACCGCACCTCACTGCACCGCACTGCACCCACTTTGCTTCAGCTCGCCAGAAAGCAGTGTTGCCAGGTCTTAAATACAAAAATATTGTATTGGAAGCTCAAAATCATTGTATTTGCTGAAAAACTATTGTACACTGAGACAATTTGCAAATAAGTATGCAAATATGTATGGAAGTAAGTCTTTGATTTACTTTATACTGCTTGATGAAAGTCACCAGTGAGCGAGTGCGAACTGGGGCATCAAAGCTGAAGCATTTCTTTATGTTGAGGCAAGCCCCCAGCAGACCCCAAACTCAGTTAAAACTCCCCAAGAGTGACGTGGGTGTAGGTGGTAGCTGTGTTGGTCTAAGGACACCAGCAGACAAGGCTCTTTGGGTGAATCTGATATCTTTTATTAGACCAACTTAAATGATGAAGGGTTTTTAAACCCAAAAGCTTGCTAAGAATTTTTTTCCCAACTATTTAGGTTGGTCTAATAATAGATATCAGATTCACCCAAAGAGCCTTGTCTGCCAACAGTGCCTGGACTTTGCCTACGTTGCATCATTTAGCTGCCTCCAATGACAGTACATTTGGGCTTTTCCTTGCCTTGGTTGTACCCTGGCCCAGGGTCCAAGTTACCGCACAGCCGCGGGCGCTAGGGCCTGCTCCCAGCGGGAGGTGGAGGGAAGGGGACGCAGCCCTGGGGTTGTTGCTTCCGCTGGGCCGACGGCGGCCCTGATTGGACGACTCGCACCCACTTGGCAGTAACGTTACTTCTGATTGGGTCAAGTGTCTGGCCGGCTTCGGGCGGCCAATTGGGGTAGCGCTTGTTGCGCGGTGTCAACATGGCAGCGCTCAGGTGGCTCTAGGGGCAGGGGGCTGGATGGAGTGAGCCCCGCGGGGCCGGCCGGGGTGAGCGGCTGGGGCATGAGCTGGCGCAGACATGGCGAGCGACGGCGGCCGCAAGCAGTTCTGGAAGCGCAGCGCGGCCAAGGTGCCGGGGAGGTGAGCGGAGCTGGCCTGGGCCCCAGCCCGTCCCGGCGCGCGGCGGGCCGCGCCTGCGGGGGGGGGGGGGCTCTCCTC